AAAAAAAAAAGACTGGGGATATAGCTCAGTTGGTAGAGTGCTTGCCTTGCATGCACAAAGCCCTGGGTTCTAATTCCCAGTACCACAAAAAAAAATTCAAAACTATGCATAATTTCAGAATATTTTCATAGAATGATTTGTGGATTTTAATAAATTTTTATATTAGAAAATTAATACATTTTCCTGTATAAATCAATTATTTACTTTTAGGTAAGAAATCTATTTTCCTTTTTAGTAGCTTGTCTTAAAAATCAAGGCTCTAAGCCAGGTATGGTGTCACACACCTATTATTCCCGAGACTTGGGAAGCTAAGGCAGGAGGGTCACAAGTTCAAGGTTAGCCTCAACAATTTAGTGAGGCTAAAGCAACTTAGTGAAACCCTGTCTCAAAATAAAACTAAAAAGGGCTGGGGATGTGACTCAGTGATTAAGCATTAACATATGGGTTCAATCCCTGGTACCAAATAAATACATAAGTAAATAATCAGGACTCTAAATATGAAATTAAGAACATGAACTAACTTGTGATTTTTTTTAATACTTTCTTACTGGTGATCAAAGGTGCAGTGTGGACTGGTGACAACACAGCAGAATGGAGTTACCTGAAAATTTCTATCCCCATGTTACTAACTCTCAGCATTACTGGGATCTCTTTTTGTGGAGGTAAGATGAGTTCTGTCTTGGAGCTTAAAGTGAGAGATAATAAAAAATGAAATGTTTCTTCAAAGCTGGTCATAAAACTCTTCTCCTTAGCTATTTTGAGCTGGGATAAATATGGGAAAGAGAAAACAGGAGAAAGTGAAGGGGAGCAGATTAGAGAGAAAAGTGAAAGCAGGATGCTTCAGAACTTCTTGTATATTGCCCAAATTTAAGACAGAGAATCAATTTCTCAGAAGGAGAAAAGGGAAGCACCAAAGAGTACTTCTTTTCCTCATTCTTTCATCACTTCCTTTTTAGATGCAGCATGTGAAAAAAGTATGGGGTGGGGCCATAGCTCAGTAGCTGAATTCTTGCCTAGCATGTGTGAGGCACTGGGTTCGATCCTTAGCATCACATAAAAATAAATAAAATAAAGGTATTTTGCCCATCTACAATTACCAAAAAAAAAATAATAAGTGAAAAAAATAGAGAGAATTACAAAGAATTTAGTGAATCAGAAGTTAGTGTGGGGGCTGGGGTTGTAGCTCAGTGGTAGAGCACTTGCCTAGCACATGTGAGGCACTGGGTTCAATCCCCAGAACCACATAAAAAAAAAAAACTAAATAAACAAAGGTATTGTGTCCATCTACAACTAAAAATATTTTTTAAAAAAATTAGTGTGGGGCAGAGATATATCAGTGGTACAGCTCTCACCTAACATGTGCAAGACTCTAGGTACAATTTTTCAGTACTGCTAAAAAATAACAATAATAAGAAGGAGGAAACAGAGAAATAAATTCTTAGCAGATTGTAAATTCCGTGACATATTTTAACTGTGTTTTTAAAAAAGATATGCTCTTGAGAAAGATAAATTTAATTAAAATAAGTGTGTCTGATAGTGTACCTTCCTTGCATCCTGAGAATTCTCTGTGGATAAAGGTTAAAAGTTGCTCAATGTGACTGCAGTTCCAGTTTTTTCCTTGTTTTCTGCAGAAATAGAAACAAGTTAATATTATATTTTTATATTGATAGTTTCTGGTATTGGTCCACATATAGTATAAGAAATACATATCCTACTCTAGGACTCAGCATGAAATTCTACCTAAACTTTTTTTTTTAATACTGGGGATTGAACTCGGGGGTACTCAACCACTGAGCCACATCCCCAGCTCTATTTTGTATTTTATTTAGAGGCAGGGTCTCACTGAGTTGCTTATCGCCTAGCTTTTGCTGAGGCTGGCTTTGAACTCGCAGTCCTCCTGCCTCAGCCTCCTAAACCACTGGGATTTCAGGCGTATGCCATCACACCCAGCTTTAAACTTCTAATTCTGATTATTTACTTCTTTTTAGTTCTTTATTTTTTATCTTGGTTTTCCTGTTGCTTCCAAAGGAAGTTGGTTACCAGCTCCTTCCTTCCAATACACACACATAACAATAAATCAAGTCAACATTTTATGATTTTTAGGTAATATGAGTTCAGAAATATACAGGAGTATTGATTTTGGAATAATCTTCTGGTCTTTTAACAAGAAGACAGTGTTCAAAAGTGTTTTGTCAGATCTCCAGAGAGGCCGTTTTATATAATGTGCTCCCCTTTTTGAGGTCATAGTTTTGAATGCACATATGTATCCTTTTTCTGGACAGTCATCAAGACCTTATCTTACCCTGTACATCATTTATTTGAAGTCTGGTTGCCTTACTTGGCCTTTCTTTCCTAACCAGCTGATGTGGGTGGCTTCATTGGGAATCCAGATGCAGAACTGCTGGTGCGTTGGTACCAGGCAGGAGCCTACCAACCCTTCTTCCGTGGCCATGCTAACATGAACACCAAGCGGCGGGAACCCTGGCTTTTTGGGGAGGAATACACCAAACTTATCCGAGAAGCCATTAGAGAACGCTACACCCTCCTACCCTATTTGTATTCTCTGTTCTACCATGCACATGTGGCTTCTGAACCAGTCATGAGGTAAAAATGCATCATCCATTCAGGGACTGCAGCAGCCTAATTCTCTCACAGTGATTAGGGACTAGACTAATTGTGCAGTGATTTTAAAAGAAAAACTGAAGAAAAGCCTCACGTTTAATCAAGTTCCAGTGAGCTTCTTGACTACCAATTATGCACGTGATTCTGGCTGTCGAAGACAGATTAAAAAAAACTAGACCCCCTACTACTGTGATTAAATGTACATGCTAGGTGAAAGGCAAAAATAGAGCTATCTCAAAGAATAAAGAAGTGACTGAAGGAATCCATTATTTGACAGTAGCATCTTTTCAGAAAGAATAACTTACCTGCCAGACTTAGGCTTTTCTTTATCTTACTCTTAGGACTAAACTGTTCCAAGCTTGAGGTGAGCATTTGTTTATAAATTTTAACTCTATTTTGAAGGCAAAATATAAAAAAAAACTTTCTAGATTAGGGAATGATACATACCAGCATACACAATTCACCAAGACTTCAGGATCAGAAGTTCCTAAATTTAGATGAAATCAGTATCACCTGGGGAGCTTTCCACTATAGATTTTAAAAGCTATACCTCCAAAACTTTCTAGGAATCTCTTTGGGTAGGTTTCAAGAATCTATATTTGTTAGAAGTTTCCCTTTTAGGTTCTAGACATCACCCATGTATACTGTTGTTTTGTTCTGTAGGAAAGAAATATGTTATTACAAAGGCTGGTGAATAAACTAAAAACAAATTTTGCTTATTAGAAGATATTCTTTCCTCATGTAATTGAAAAATGACTAGAACCATTAAGTTGATATCCAGGTAGATATATACTGACAGTTTTATTGTTTATGAACCCAAATACATCCTAGTTACACAAAACAATAACAATCAAAAAAGAATACTCAAAATTTCTTAACCCCACACCCCAAAAAATAATGTCAGCTTGAAAACAAGAAACATCAGTTCTTCTCAAAGATATAGTGATTAAGTGATGCATGAAAGCAGCAAACACAAAAATAAAACAGCACAGAGGGGCTGGGTTGTAGCTCAGCGGTAAAGCACTTGTCTTGCATGTGTGAGGCACTGAGTTCCATCGTCAGCACCAAATAAAATAAATAAACAAATGTATTGTGTTCATCTGCAACTAAAAAAAATGTTTTTTTAAAAAGCACAGAATTATCATCATTGTAAAATCATATCCAAAGATGTTAGGCATTTGGACTTGCATAAAGCTCTGACTCTGCCCATTAGAGTAGTGTTTAGTGCTCAACAATCAGAAGGAAAAGTGGCAGGAACTAGAATTCTCAATATTTCTTTAGAACATTTTTTTTAAGAGAGCACAAGAGAGGGAGAGAGAGAGAGAGAAAGAATTTTAATATTTATTTTTTGGTTATCGGCGGACACAACATCTTTGTATGTGGTGCTAAGGATCGAACCCGGGCCGCACACATGCCAGGCAAGCGCGCTACCGCTTGAGCCACATCCCAGCCCTCCTTTGTATAGTTTTTAAACTAAAAATATAAAAATCTTAAAAAACATATAATTACATTAAAATGTAACAAACGTTCTTTTCACTTTCCCAGGCCTCTGTGGATAGAATTCCCAGATGAATTAGAGACTTTTGGTGTAGAAGATGAATACATGCTGGGTGAGCATTTATTAATTACAAACACTATAATTATGTTTCTATTAAATTTTCTACTATGAGAGCACTTTTTAAAATCCTAATCCCAATGAAACTAAAAAAATTAAAATAAATTCCTTCATCAAGATTTGTAATGCATTAGTGGGATTGCAGATCTATTCTGTTGTAATTATAGCACTCACAGTATTATTCTTACCAACATCAAATAAATCTATTCTATTTGTAGGTATAGTTTAAACTTTTGTTTTGTGTTCACTCTTCTAAGCCTATTGAGACCACTACAGGGAAGGAAGTAGGCAAAAAGTAAATCATATAGATATAGTAAAGAACCAGAAGAGTTTATTTCATATACAGTATTAGGCCTCTTTAACAAGGATTAACCATCAATTACAGAACATGGAATGCCAAATATGGTTGGGCACAATTCAGGAGCCACTTGTCAAAAGAAACTAACGTTATTTTTAGAACCACACACGCCAAACAAAACAGCTCCTCAAGAAAAACCCTCAGAGCCCAACTGCCACCACCAGCTTCCCACAAGCCTCTCACCCCAACACCAGCCTCTCCACCTCCCACAATCCTCCTGCTCTTGAGGCCTATTGGCTGAGTCGCGTGGGCGGAGCCAAAGAAGTCCCCCAATGAGCAGCTCCGTGGTCTGAAAGGGCAGGGAAACAGCCCAATGAGCATCACCGCAGAGGAGCCAATCAGCTAGATATTGCTGGGGCCGCTGTGAGCCAATCATCAGCCGGCAGCTGGAAGTTTGCTGGGGCCCCTTTGGCTGTGGCTCTCAACAATGGAAGTTTATTATCTTAGAGACAAAGCTCAAAAAGCCAGACTAAACATTGAGTTGCCCAAAAGGTAACCACATGCCAAACAATGGAAACCTCCAGTGTTAAATAATAGAGTCATTGGGCTGGGGCTGGGGCTCAGTGGTAGAGGGCTTACCTGGCATGTGCGAGGCACTGGGTTCGATTCTCAACACCACATATAAACAAAATAAAGGTCCATTAATAACTAAAAAAAATATTTAAAAAAATAGAGTCCTTGGTCTGGGAATGTAGCTCAGTGGCAGAGCACTCAGATGGCATGTTCAAATTCCTAGATTCAATCCCTTACACATTAGATCTCAATAATCACTGCCTTGGAGAAACCTCCCTGACCACTCCTTGCCTTCTTATACCTTAGACTGTTCTCCTCCATCAAAGTCAATCTGTTGAATTAAAAAAAACTTCTGCTTTGTACTTTTGCTTTTTTTGGTATTTGTCTTAACTCTATCTTTCAATTACTTTTTAATATCTGTCTTCATTTACTATAAGCTCCATGAAAGCAGGGATCATGCTTGTTTTATCTGCCACTCTATCTCCAGAGCCTATCAACATGCCTGGCAATCAGTATTTATTGAATAAAAGAATTTACAAATGATGAATTTTTACCTGCATGGTGGCAAGATCAAAGAAAATTTAATAATACTTGCATCTACAGCCTTCCCAATGATAACTGCCCAAGCAAAAGAACCTGAGTAGCCACAGTGACACAATTCTGGATAACAGTTGTGGACTCACTATCATCAGCATCACTCAAAGAAAACAGTAAAGCCATGGAGAGATGCAGTGGTGCTTTCAGATTATTGGTGCACCAGAAGTTAAGCACAAAATGATACTGTAGTAAATTGTGTCAGGGTTCCTTCCTATAATCCTGATATTCCATATATGGATTAATGATGGGTAATAACAGTCACCTATTTGAGCCCCTGTCCTCTTTCCAACAATGCATCTCTCTGATGAATCATTGGTTTAACTCACCACAGTCTGCCTTACAGAAGTTTACAGTCTAGTAGTTTTTTGCCAGGCATTGTGGCCCATAACCTGTAATCCCAGCTACTCAGGAGGCTGAGACAGGAGATTTGCAAGTTGTAGGCCAGCCTCAGAAATTTAGCCAAGCCCTAAGCAATTTCGCAAGACCTGTCTCAAAAGGAAAAAAAAAAATGAAAAGGGCTGGAGATGTAGGTCAGTGGTGAAGAACCCCTGTTTTCAAGCCCCATACCAAAACAAAACAAAATAAAAATCACAATACTGTTCAATTAAAGGAAAAGAATTCTCGTAATGACACTAACTTTTATTTCTTCTCCATTCTTAAGGAAGTGCTTTATTGGTTCATCCAGTCACAGAACCAAAAACCACCATGGTTGATGTATTTCTGCCAAGATCAAATGAGGTAAGACTAATAACAATTAGTCACATATCTCAAGTCTCATCTCTCTCATCCCTTTATTTCTTTAAGCAACTAAATTTCTCCATAATGCTTTGGTGAACACACACCAAATGACTGTAATAACTGATAATTTTTTTTAGATTTTTTTTTTTTAGTTGTTGATGGACTTTATTGTCTTTATTTTTATGTGGTGCTGAGAATCGAACCCAGTGCCTCACACATGCTAGGCGAGTACACTACCACTGAGCCACAACCCCAGCCATAACTGATGATTTTTAAAAATCATGACACTGTCCACTTAGGCTAAGAAATTAATGGAGGCCAGGTGATAGAAAAATGAATAGGTGATGGCCCCAAGAAGGATCAGAATTCATCTTCACACTGACTTGCTTAAGTGAGTTCTTAAACACACTGAGGGTAGGGTAAGAAAAAAATCTTTTGTCTACTATGAGGTATCAGACTCTGGTGGGAAACTTAAGTAAAGAAACTTTGCTCTTTATGCCAGTCACGGTGGCGCACGCCTGTAATCCCAGTGGCTCGGGAGGCTGAGACAGGAGGATTGCAAGTTCAAAGCAAGCCTCAGCAATGGCGAGGTGCTAAGCAACTCAGTGAAACCCTGTCTCTAAATAAAGTACAAAATAGAACTTGGAATATGGCTCAGTGGTCGAGTGCCCCTGAGTTCAATCCCCAGTACCAAAAAAGAAAAAAAAGAAAAGAAACTTTGCTCTTTGATTCTGGCTCCCTTTGAATCCTAAATTTTGGTACCAAAAATTGTCTCCAGTACTCACCAAATTGATCAAGATCAACAATGACTTCCCTCTATCATCTCTACCTTCCTTAGCTATCTTATTAGTTATTGTCATTTATTATTATTACTATATGAACTGTCCCGGCCTACCAGAGCCCAAGGCAGTGAACTTAGGCAGAGCACAAAGGTGAGGCAGGGACAACCCTTTTTCTGCAGAGCAGAGACCACGGAGACTTGGTGCCCCAGACTAGGGAAAGAAGGTGTGGAATGAAGAGCAGAAAGGAGACAGACTAGGGAGAGTCCTCAGGAACTAGAGCTTCACCCCAGGCTTCAGCACACAAAGGAAAGAGCCATGCAGGGTGCTGGGCTGGACTGAGACTACCATGTCAAGAAACTCTTTTTCAGTGGCCACCATTCAGCTACCTACACTTTTTATTATTCATATGACTAACCAGGTTTTTCTCCAGAGTGTTTATGAACTATAGTCTTTCCTCTTGGTTTCTCCAGTAATTTGAAGTTCTGAAGTTGAGGGATCTTTACAAAGATTCCCTTGCCAAGTAGAAACCTGAGGAAAACATTAAATACAGCAACAGCTAAATAAATGGTCCTTCTGAGCATGTCTGATGAGAATTTTTCAAGTTTATTCTAACAAAGCAGTAGGTATCTATTAAGAGAAACTGGCTCCCTTTCTAACTTAGCCAAGAATTTTTACTAATGATTCATCATTGCAAACACATTGTTGTGACTTTGAACTATATTCCTTCATTTTTTATCAGAGTGTTCTGTGATTGTTTCTCTTGCAACATCTTCACAAATTTTGGGTAAAAAAGCCAAAAAAAATTCTTGCCATACCTGCTTCTTTATCTTGACTAGCTGGCCAGTATACTTCACACTAAATGAGCTGGCTGTCTGAAATTCACATTGTCACTCTTACCCATATTTATATGGGGCCCATCTCCTCTCCTCCAAGTCTGGGCTCAAATATCTCATCAGCAAAGCTGTCTCTGACCACCTGTTTAAGTTTATAGACTTCTCTCGTTGGTCCTGGTGCTCCCTAGGCCTCTCCAGCCTTTCTCTTTCTTCACAGGACTTTCCACCATCTAACATTCTGTATATTTACTTATTTTCTTATTATGTACCTCTCCTATTGGAATGTGAGCTCCTTGAAGGCAGTGATTTTCATCTGTTAGGTTCACTATTACATCCCCAGCAACTAAGTGGATACCTGGTATATAGTTGGCACTCAGCAAGAACTTGCTTAGGAACCTGGGACTGAGTTCTGGGTTTGGTCCTTTGTGGAATTTTATACTAGTTATACCCTTCCTAAATTGGAGATCTTTGGATATGGCACCAAAGCACAAACCTTGTATCTCTCATTTTAATCAGTTATGGTGGTAGACAAGACAATGCTCAAATCTTGTTTGAATCAGTTTACCTTTTATCCCCACCAATGCTTTATCTGAAGCTACTGGGATTAGCTAGAGAGGAGAGAGAGAAAGCCAGAGAATGACATATAAAAGAAACATAAAGAAAACAAGCTAATGTTCTTACAAACACAGACTCAAAAATCCTTGACAAAATATTAATAAATTGAATCCAATCAAGAATAATATATCATGACTGCAGTAGGTTTGACCCTATTGAATTAAGAGTTCACTGTGGCAGCTGGGCACAGTGGCACATGCCTATAATTTCAGCAGCTCAGGAGCTGAGGTAGGAGGACTGCAAGTTCAAAGCTAGCCTCAGCAACTTAGCGAGATCCTAAGCAACTTATTAAGATCCTGTGTCAAAATTTAAAAAAAATAAAAGGGACTGGGGATGTGACTCTGTGGTTAAGCATCCCTGGATTTAGTCCCCAGTAATCCCCCCAACCCCCCAAAATAAAAGCGTTCACTATGGCTAATGATGGTCAAATCACAGTTCTGTCACCTTCACAACAGGATGGTAACAGACTAAACAACTCTGCTATATAAAGGATGTGGTAATCCCACAAGGTGAACTTGCAACACTGGCTGCCAGAAAGTATACTGGCTAAAAGAGAGAAAATAAGGTTTTTGTTTTCATTCTCCTTCTAATGATATCTTAAGGATTTATTCCATCAAATTACTTTATAGGCTCTTTTTGATACTTCAGCAACTGGCTCCCTCTTGATTGAGATCTCACATAAGAATTAGAACCTTAGCTCTGAATTATACTGTGTAAAAAAGTGATACCATATTAGTAATCCATGTTTCAATTTGTTTTTGTCCCAGATCTATTCTTTCTCTGGTATTTTCCTTTTCTGCTGCCTCATTTGCAATCTCTTTACCTGCAACGTGCTTTTCTTTATTTTGGTTATTTTTTCTATTTTGTCATCTCATTTACTGCTAGAAGCACTAAGTTTTTATAAGCCAAGTGAGCTATAAAACCCAGGAGGTCAAGGACTGCCTTTTCACTCATTAGACATCTTAATTATCATGTATGTGGAGCACCTGGCATAGTGGTTATGTTGTTTAGCAAATAACTTTTCTTTTGGTTCCAGAGATTGAACTCAGGGAAACTCAACCACTGAGCCTCATCCCCAGCCCTATTTTGAATTTTACTTAGAGACAGGGTCTCACTGAGTTACTTAGTACCTCGCTGTTGCTGAGGCTGGCTTTGAACTATGATCCTTGTGTCTCAGCCTCCTGAGCTGCTGGAATTACAGGTGTAATTACTTTTGAATGTACAGATGGGCAAACAAATGACCTTTATTAAATTAATTAGTCATAGTCCCTTGAGATTTGCTCCTTCCTTCCTTCTTTCCTTCCTTCATTCCCTCCCTCCCTCCCTCCCTCCCTTTCATGTTAGAGATCAAATCCAGGTCCATGGATGTGCTTGGCAAGCATCTGCCTCTGAGCTATATCCTCAGTCCTTTTTATTTTATTTTGAGTCAGAGTTATACTGAGTAGCTCGGCTTGGCCTCAAACTTGAACTTGTTCTGCCTCAGCTGCCTGAATAGCTATGATCATAACCATGAGCCATCAAGTCCCACTCTTTCAGATCTTCTTAAAAATACATATTCTTCCTAACTTCTACCCAAGATTTAAAAAAAAAGGGGGGGGCTGGAGATGTAGCTCAGGGGTAAAGCGCTTCTGGGTTCAATCCCCAGTTCCCTCCCAAATAAATAAATAATTTAAAAAATACTTCCCCATACCACAATGAAACAAAAACAAACAAAAAACCCCACTTATCTCCTTTTATTTTAGTTTCTGGTTATTTGAAATGCAGTTAAGTGAATATTTTAATGAGTAAGTTGTGAGCAGAGTTACTCATAAACTCTTTCTCACTGGGGTCTGTTTTAGATCTGGTATCACTCTAAGACATTTGCTCATTGGAAAGGAGGATGTACCGTGAAAATTCCAGTTGCCTTGGATACTGTAAGTTATTTTCAGAATATTATTTCTACCTGTGTTGTATTTGTCTGCTCTGATTGCTGTGACAAAATACCACCAACTTGGTGGTTTAAACAGCAGAAATTAATTTCCTCACAATTGTGAAATTTCTATTTCCAGATCAGATGAGAATGCCAGTTGATGCAGTTCCTAATGAGGCACTTCTTTCTGTCTCTCCTTTTTTTAAAAAATATATTTCTAGTTATAGATGGACCCAATACCTTTATTTTTGTGTGGTACTGAGGATCCGAGCCAGTGCTTCACATGTGCTAGGCAAGTACTCTACCACTGAGGCCCAGCCCTAACCCTTTCCTGTCTCTTCTTATAAAGACACTATTCCTATCATATCAGGGCCTCACCACTGTGATCTCATTTTACATAATCATCTCCAAAGAGGTCCTATCTCCAAATATAATCACCTTGTGGACTGGACTTCAACAAATGAATTTTAGGGGGATACTGACCTTCAGTCTATATTGTGTGCCTGTATCATAAAACCAAGAATGTTAGTGTTCTGCATAATAACATATACATATAGAAACAGAAAGTAGATTAGTAAGTATTGCTTAGGGCTGGGGCAGGGCAAGGAATTGGGGTATGATGAAGAGTGACTGCTACTTGGTACAGATTTCTTTTTTGGGTATCAGAATATTCTAAAATCAATAGTGGTGAGGGTTGCAAGACCAATATACTGAAGCCTGTTTAACTGTATACTCTAAATGTGAAATATATATGATTATATCAATAATGCTGTTAAAATGTGAAGAAAAATATCTTAAAATATATATACTCAGATTTCATGGTATGAAATATCAGGGATAAAAACAACTCTTACCCATATGTTTACATTTGTGTGTCTAAGAAAAGTAATATTAAAAACAGAAAATGCAGTGATTATAACACATGCCATATAGAATGTCCTTCTACAAGACTAAGTTAAAAACATGAATTTTCAGGCATGATCCTGGGCCTCTCAGCCCAAGGGAGTAATATCAGTATGATGTTAGCATCAAAGGGGCCTGCCTATCCAGGCTGTTTTGAGTTTCCAAAGGGAAGTTCTTTCCTATAGCTAAATCATAGCACTGTCATAGTCCCTGAGTATAGTGAAGATTAATAAATAGGCAGTGATGTGATTTTTTTTTAATTATCAACAGTGATTTTTTTATAAAGAAAATAATTTCAGGGGCTGAGTGGTGGCTTAGTGATGGAATACTTGCCTTGTACATGTGAAGCACTGGGTTTGATCCTCAGCACCATATAAAAATAAATAAATAAAATAAAGATATTAAAAACAAAGAAAGTTATTTTGGATATTAACTTTCAGATCTAGAGAAAAACCTTAATAATCATCTACTTAAATACCTTACACTTACAAGTAACTTATCTGTCCAGGATGACAGCTGGATTGTAGGAAAAATCTTGGGAGAAATGAGACAAGCTCCCAAGTCTGTTGATTCCTCATCTAGAGCCCATTCCATTTTAACTTAACACTGTGCTCTTAAAAACAAACAAACAAGCCAAAAAAAAAATGAAGAAAAACAGAACAGAGAAATTGGCCAATTAGAGAGGGATATGTGGGGAGGAATAAGATGTTCTTTACTTCTTGTTGCCTACTGCGAATTAGGTATGGGGGACATTTTAACTACTTCATCCTCACTATCAACTTCATATATGTTCTTCTACTCTTCTCATTGCTAACACTTTACCACAGCAAAGTACAAGTCCTCATGTGATTCTTACCAGGCTTTCCCTGCCAAGTGGCATTCCGGAAGATTGAGAGATGAGGGCCATGCCCACATGATGTTGTTAGAGTCACTTAAATTACCCTTGATGATATGTATAAGAAAAGCAGTTTGTGGAGGGGTGTTTGCTTTTTTGGTGGTGGTTGAGGTTTCTTTTCTTTTTTTGGGGTGGGGGGTACTGGGGATTGAACCCAGAGGTGCTTTATCACTGAGCCACATGTTCAGCCCTTTTTATTTTTTTGAATAGGGTCTCCCTAAATTGGTGAGAGCCTTGCTCAGATGCTGAGACAGGCCTCGGGCTTGTAATCCTCCTGCCTCAGCCTCCTGGGCCTCTGGGATTACAGGTATGCATCACCATGCCCAGCTATAACAGAAGCAGTTTCACAAATCCACCCTCAGAATTGAGTCAGTCATTCTGGTGATCCAGAGAAACAGAGAGCAAAAAGTATTCTGGTACAGTGATAAAGAACAAAAGACATCTCCCCAAACCAAGAAATACTTTACATATACATACATATACCACTTAGAGAAATTAAGTCTTTAGCAAGGCTCTAGAAGTAAACATGTTTATTATAATTTATGAGAATGTTAAACTACAACATAGGAAAGGCCAGTTATAGAGTGTGCAAAATAAAATTAATCATTTAAAAGAAAAAACAGTAGCTGGACATGTTAGTGCACACCTGTAATCCCAGCTACATAGGAGGCTGAATCACAGGTTCCAGGCCAGCCTGGACAACTTAGCAAGACTCCGTCCCACAAAGGGCTAAGGATGAAGCTCAGTGGTAGAGCACTTGCCTTCATGTGCAGGACCGTGGATTCAGTTCCCAGTCTGCAAAGAAAACAAGAAAAGAAAAAGGAAAAGCAGCAAAAACAAGTATATGTGATAAATTAGTGAAGGGTAGTCAGCTTCCCTAGTAATTGGAAAATGAACCATTTTTTTGTTGCTGTGCTCTTTCTTTTTAATGCCAGGATCCCCACATATACTACCTCTGTGCCCACAAATTTATCTTGCCCTAGAGTCTGTACTTATAAAGAGTGGAATCTTATATAATGAAATATTTTTAAATTCTACTTTGAAATTTCCTTATACAAATACCTTTCCTGATATTGTTGCTCTGCTGTAGATACCAGTATTTCAACGCGGTGGAAGTGTGGTACCAATAAAGACAACTATAGGAAAATCCACAGGCTGGATGACTAATTCCTCATTTGGACTCCGGGTTGCTGTCAGCACTGAGGTATTTGGGAAAATAGGTTATACTTTTTATTACTTCTGTGTCTCTTTATAGTCTTTCAAAAAGTCTGATAGCATGTAAAAGTGGTGAGCCCCACCTATGGAGATAGGTACTTCTAGTGTTTATCTAGAAATCAAAGTTTTAAATAATTTCTGAATTATTGCCTAGCTAGTCTGCCCTTCTTGGAATTGTCTTAAAAGAACTTGGGGAAAGAGAAAAATGTCTTTCTTGAACAGTTGACTGTTGGTTCTTTTTAGCTGAGCAGTGATTACTGCTGGGCTAAAAGCTCATTAGATCATAGGCTGTGTATTAGCTCTGAAACTCATTCTCTCACAGAAGGGTACCTGTGACTATGGACCACTTCAGGGACCCCAACCCCACTAAATGACTTCTCATCAGGTAACTCAAACAACTGAAATCTCCCCAAGTAAAGCCTGGTAGGATCGAGATCTGATTTGTCCTTTTAAGAAGATCTTTTAAGCCATATGAAACCTGTATCAGACTTCTCTCCTGGCCATGTGCCAAAATATAGGGCCAAATATAAATTTTTACTCGTATTATAATAATACTTATCCTTATTTATATTAGCATTGTAAAATAATTAAGTTATAGCTTTCTTTTCTGTTTCATTTAGGCATGTCTTTGTGGGCCAAACTAGGGATTTGGGACCCATGTGAAATCCCAGAATAAATGCAAAATACTAGAAATCCATTGCACATCAAGTATTGCCAATAATCTTAATCTGCCATATGGAGTGCTATGACATTGTATGATATGCAAAGGGGCCCTTCTGCCGAAAAGAGTAGGCACCAGATACCTTTCTCGAAATGGAAGATCTAGAGATAGTTGATCCTCATCCATTATATTCTGATTTTTTTTTTAACATCAGTTTCATTCTGTGAACCTTCTTGACCTTGTTGTCACATTCTGGGATAGTGTTTTCAGGGATGCCCCTGACCATACTTCATAGTTTAAATTTCTTCCAACAAGGTTTAATTCTTCGTGCACCTCTTATGTGACTTCTCTATTCATATTGTTTCATTATCTATTTGAGAGTGATTGGGTATTGAATATATTAGATATTTGTATGACTACTTTGTGCAGCTTAAATATTGCTAGTTAACTTTCTACGCTAAAACAAATACCTGAGATAATTAACTTATAAAAATAAAAGGGTTATTTTAGCTCACTTTTGGAAAATATTTCAGTTGGCCTCATTGCTTTTGGGCCTAGGTGAGGTAGCATATCATGATAGGGAGTACATGGCAGAGCAGAGCCACCCAGGGGTCCCCACAGTCTCCTTCAAAAGGCACAATCCCAATGACCTGAAGACCACCACTATATCCCTGTGCCTCTCAATAACACCATGGGCTGAGGACCAACACATGGGACTTTGGGGACATTCCATAACTGTAGCAAATCTAAGTTTTTGTTTGACATAAGTTTTCACATTTTCAAAATTATGTCCCTTTGGGAGATGACATTCTTTTCCTATTACATAAAACATGTTCCCTGATTCACTTAACAGGGTTCTGCAGTGGGGGAGTTATATCTCGACGATGGCCATTCATTTCAGTATCTCCACCAGAACCAATTCTTGCACAGAAAATTTTCATTCTGTTCCAGTGTTTTGATCAACAGGTAATAGCAGCTAAAGATGCTGTGTGTGTTTTTTAAATAACTTATACTATATTTAGGCATCCTCAAATAAATGCATTGCTGTTTTTGGTTATTATTTAAAGAAATGAATTGGGACATTTTTCAGTTACTCTTCCATGAGTGTTCCTTTTTTAATGTTCATTTCATTCCCCACTACCTAAAAACTAAAAAAAAAGTGCAATTTGGGCTTTTATAATTCCTTCCACCAACTCATTAAGTGCCTGATTTCTTATAATTTGTTACAAATCCCAGTTACATTTGTGATTTTTGTGTACTTCTGTGATTTTCTCAAATGGTGTTAAAGGGAGATTGATTTGTTAGTCCTTGGCATAGAGTCATCTTTTTTCATCTCTTCATCATAGTCAATATGACCCTGAAAGAATCATGACTCCATAGGGACAGATGGAAGGGAACTCATAAGAGATTTTGACCTGTGACTAATTCAAATCCCCATCCTTCTTCTCCTAAATCCATTTATATCTATTCCAGTTGTGCAGATGAGAGGGGTCGTTATCTCAGCAAATGTGTGGTGGAGCAGATCTTGTTCTTAGGCCTCAAGAAGAAGCCATCTTCTGTGACTACCCACTCATCTGGTGAGGAAACAGTTCGTTCTTACCTCAGCATTTGTTTTTGTAAACATGAAAGTATCTGCCATGAGGAAATGCTTAGTTTCTAAACTAACATGAGTCTAGCTCAAATGGACTCTGCACTTACTGGTGGAGGTCAAGTATTCTAGTCTCTATAGTGAGTAAGACCATTCTGGTCTTTCTTCTTGCTTCCTGCCTTATTTTTTCTAAGGAAATTGTTTGGGGCTTGGCTTAGTAGTTTAGGTATTTCTGAATGCTTTTTTAATCTGTAGATATCTGGGTGCTGGAGCTAGAGCACAGTGGTAGAGCACTTGCCTAGCAAATGTGAGGCACTGGGTTTGATCTACAGCACCACATAAAAATAAATAAAATAAAGATATTATGGTTCATCTACAACTAAAAAACAAATTTTAAAAAATCTAGATATCTGAAGCCTTGGTGAATTCTGCCCATGTTGATGGAGTTTATGGAGGGGCATAGGATGGGAATTATATCCTTCCTTACCTACTGAATTTCTTGGGCACATCACTTTGTCAAACTGTCTTTTCAACCAGGGCTGTATTCAAAACAATGAAGGTTTTTCATGGTTTAAAAAAATCATAGAAATTCATGAGTAAAAGTGCTATTAGGGGCCTGGGGATGTGGCTCAAGCGGTAACGCACTCGCCTGGCATGCGCGGGGCGCTGGGCTCAATCCTCAGCACCACATAAAAATAAAATAAAGATGTTATGTCCACTGAAAACTGAAAAATAAGTATTTAAAAAATTCTCTTTCTCTCTCTCTCTCTTCTCTCTCTCTCTCTTAAAAAAAAAAAGTGCTATTAGGGCTGGGGTTGTGGCTCAGTGGTAGAGTGCTCACCTAGCACATGTGAGGCATTGGGTTCGATCCTCAGCACCACATATAAATAAATTAAATAAAGGTATTATATCTACTTATAACTAAAAAAAAATTAAGTGCTATTAAATTAGATTCTCAGGCGAGATATGTAACTCAGGGTAGAGAGCTTGCCTGGCAAGGTTACCTGCAAGGCCCTAGGTACTGTCCCCAGCACCACACATACGCACACACAAAAATTAGATTCTTTTTTTTTAAAAAAAAATATTTATTTATTTATTAGTTATTGGCGGACACAACATCTTTGTTTGTATGTGGTGCTGAGGATCGAACCCGGGCCGCATGCATGCCAGGCTACCGCTTGAGCCACATCCCCAGCCCCAAAATTAGATTCTTCTAAGTAAGTTTTTATGATAGAGTCAGAAAATATGTCAGATTTGAAGAATATATTTTTCCCTCCTAAGTATATATTTTTTTTTTTTTGTCTTGCTATGTAGATGGTAAAGATCAGCCTGTGGCTTTTATGTATTGTGACAAAACGTCCACCCTGAACCTGGAGAAGCTTTCACTGAATATTGGCTGTGACTGGGAGGTCCACATCAAATGACAAAGAAGCTCCCCTGGTGTTGCTCAGAAGGAGCTGCCTGCATCTTTTCAGTTCTTCCCTTGGCCTCTTTTAAGATTTGTGCTGCAATCTAATTGGTTTCCTTAGCTAAAAATAATCTTGCATTAGTCACTTATATACTAATGGACAATAGATTTCATATTTTAAGATGATTAATGATTGAGACTCTTTTTACAAATACGACTCTTCCTACATACCCACAAAGCCCTGAGACATTAATAGAGTTGGTGAATTTTCCTTGCCTCTTGGACTATGGCCCTGTGGTAAGCTCTGTGGGCCAGTGAGTGGCCTCTTTTTGAGCAGGACTGGATGGATTTTTAGGTGTTCCAAGCCTACCCAAGTGGCCCATTTATTGGGCTTGCCTCAGGCCAATGTGGCAGATTCACTCTGGCTACAGCAGGGAAGTTGCCCAGTCTCCAAATGGACAATAGTGTCTGGTGCCACAGTTATCGTTTGCCTACATTGACATGGTTAAGATAACCCTGTCTGTGTGTACTGCATACCCTACAACAGTGGGGACCTGTTCTGCCCTAGAGATTTACTCAGGAGCACAAAGGATTATTTTCCCTTTCCTGCTTCTCAGGCTCAAAAGTTCTAAATTAATCTTCTTAAAATTTAAATTATTTGATTGTTTTTATTAAATACTGTCTACTTGCCTAAGGATATTTTTTTTTAAGAGAGAGTGAGAGAGGAGAGAGAGAAAGAGAGAGAGAGAGAGAATTTTTAATATTTATTTTTTAGTTCTCGGCAGACACAACATCCTTGTTGGTATGTGGTGCTGAGGATCGAACCCAGGCCGCACGCATGCCAGGCGAGCGCACCACCACCTGAGCCACATCCCCAGCCCCATTGCCTAAGGATATTGATAATATGAGTAAGCTCTAAAAAAAAATGAGTAAGCTCTAATTAATAATAATGCAATAAATACCCATGTCCTCACCACTGAACTTCAAAAATAGAGAACAAGGCTGGGAATAGGAGAAGGCAAGTAAAGCACTTGCTTCAGGCATGATAAGAAGTATTTTAATGTACTATTTTTAAAAATTGTAATTATTGTAAAAGTCATGCTGAACAAAACATCAAAATCTTTTATAAAGATAGCCTCAGGATTATTGAGTTTTCCTTTTGCTTCAGGCTCCAATATAGCTTGGCATGGAGTAGAACATTACAACATACCAGTTGGATCACAATGATCTCTGCTCTGGAGACCCCAATAATTTTCCGTTGCCTACCACAGCATCTGTTGGAACAGCCTCAACTCCTCAGTACTCTCAGCATGCACACTTTCTTATCAGTCTTCCTCCACTTAGTTACTTAAAATATCACCTCTGTGCCTTCCCCTCCCTGAGCTGCAGCATCCTCCCTCCACCCAGACAAATCTTACCACCCTTTCAGACCCAATTCACATCTCACTTTTCCACACACTGTAACCACCCTAGCACCCCAACTCTTCAGTGCCCATTAATAGTGATTTTGCCATTCTCTGAAATGCTGTCCCACATATAATTGTGGTGTATTATGCATTCTCAGGGATTGTACCATAATGTCTCAAGTATGTCTGTCTTTTCTTGATAGATTCTCTGTTCCTTAAAAGCATGTTATATTTCTCTTATATCTGCTAGAGCACCTTTACACTTGACTTTCAGTAACTGTTGGCTGTGATTGGTTAACTGATAGATTATATTGATTAAAAAGTGAATATAGGAGACTGGGGTTGTAGCTCAGTGGTAGAGTGCTTGCCTCACACACATGAGGCCCTGGGTTCAATCCTCAGCACCACATAAAAAATAAACAAATAAAAATAAAGATATTGTATCCATCTAGAACTAAAAACATTTTTTAAGTAAGGATAGCATGTATTTATTTCTAATTTTATTTTCTGACATAGGAATCTGCCCAAATGCAGTAAACATTGTACATTTCTGATGGTCACATTTAACTGTATTAGTTGAGGTTTGAATTTTGCACCAAATGAAAGCTGACATAGCTACATGTGTATCCTTTGCTCCTATTTGTGTATGTTTTGCAATTAAGGAAAAAAGAAGACTCCTAAATTAACTGAAGTCATGAATACTAGCTTCAGTTTTCCCTTGCCAACCTAAAATAAAACATAGCCTGAAAACCAATGCTCTTTCCTAATATAAATATATGGGGTTTTATTGTTGTTATTGTTGTTTTTATTAATGATGGGGGTTTTGTTGTTGCTATTTGTAGTGCTAGATATTGAACCCATATTCTTAAACATACTTGACAAGTGTTTTATTATCAAGCTATATCCCCAGGCCTAAATAATGGTTTTTAATAGCAATTAAAGTTTAATAATTAAGACCTATCTTTAGACAAATATTTATTTCATGTCTGTTATTCCATTAAAATATCTTTGGAAGAAGAAAGAAAACAGGAACTATTAAAGTTAGTGAGGAAATGCTCTGCCTTGACCCAAATCTATACTGAAACACTTTACAACAGAGAAATATTGTCTGGTGTTTTTGTTTTCTGCTCTTATTGCTTCTCATACTTTACCTGCCTTCTATGTGGAAAGCTATATACCAGAGATCCATGTGCAGCTGAGTTGACCTACCAATATTCAGTTATCTTGTGGCTAATTCTTGATATGTTTTCACAGGAAACAGGATTTTATGTGAGAAAGTTAAATTGTTTCAACAAATATTGTAGCAAAGCTCAAATGAATCCATAATTTATCTGTCCTTCAAGACTTAAAAGCCAAGCAATAAATTGACAAATTCACTTAAAAACAGAAAGTATCCAACAGGAAAGTAGGCAAAGATAAACACAAAAGAAACTAAACAGACAAAATAAGCATATGTAAGATGCTCAGCCTTATTAATAATCAAATAAATTATTTTTTGCCTGATTGGCCAAGATTAAAAAGAATGAAAGCTGGGTGCCGTGGCACCCACCTGTAATCCCAGTGGCTTGAGAGGTTAAGTCAGGAAAATCTCAAACTCAAAGCTAGTCTCAGCAATTTAGCAAGGCCGGAAGCAACCTACTGAGATCCTGTCGCAAAATAAAAAGGCCTGTAGATGTGGCTCAATGGTTAAGTGCCCCTGGCTTCAATCCCCAGTACCAAAAAAAGAATGAAAATGTCCAGTTCTAATGGGAGTGTGGGAAATAGGCACTCTTGTGCATCATTGACAAAATTATAAATAAGTATCATCTTTCAGGATTGCAGCAGTATCAAAATTGTAAATTTGCATACTATAGCCTAGAAGTTCCATTTCAGATAAATGGTCAGAGCTACTAACTGTAATATGGTCTATACTATAGAAAATTGGAAATAAATGTAACATCCCTCCTTTAATAGATGATTTGCCAAATATCGTACCTCCATGTAGTGGAATATTATGCAACCATTAAAGATTAATCTACATGTATCAACGGAAATGTTTTGATAAAATATTTACTGAGTAATTTCATCTAAGAAAAGTTATAACAAAACAAACTCAAATTCAAAGAACATATACTCTCCAAAACATGAAGGCCACACAAAAACACAGGTGGGAATGGTTCCAGATTGAAGGAGACTAAAGAGACATGACCCTAGTTGTGATCCTGGATTGGATTCTGGACCTATAAAGAACATTATTGGGACAGTTTGGCAACATTTTGAATGGAATCTTTTGATTGCATGGTAATTGTCCTGGTTGTGCTATGATTACATAGAAGAATTCCCTTGGGTTTAGGGAAAACAACAGAATTCAGTCTGCAGGATTCCTTCACTTTCACTTTCACATCTCCTTCAATATCAGTAAATCATAATGATAGGCAGCAGAAGCAATCAAAACACAAATATCTGGAGGGTATTTATTTATTTTATTTATATGGTTCTGGGGATCAAAACCAGGGCCTTACACATGCTAAGCAACTGAGCTACATCCCTTCCCCTAGAGCTATATGTTTTTTTGTTTTTGGGGGGGAGGGAGGGGTACATTTTACCGAGATCAAACTCAGGGGCACTCAATCACTGAGCCACATCCCCAGCCCTATTTTATATTTTATCTAGAGATGGGGTCTCACTGAGTTGCTTAGCACCTCACAGTTGCTGAGGCTGGCTTTGAACTTGTGATCCTCCTGCCTCAGCCTCCTAAGCCACTGGGATTACAGGCACACACCACTATGCCCAGCTAGAGCTATATGGTTTTTAGTTCATAGTTAACCACACGTAAAAACCTTATGGGTAATGAGATTCCTATGACAATATCAAGCATTCCACTCTGATTTTTAGATTTTCACTTACTAAAACCTTCAAATGGTTAGCAAAATTCCAGAAGGCACTTTAACTAAAATAACTTCTCAGCCTGGTGGACGTGGGGTAGGAAGCTATCAGTAGCAACACTGGAAACAAACTACCAAATTAGCCACAAACAATGGAATACAGCAGCGTTCTAGGAGAAATACAGATAAGGAGACATTGGCACCTGATATCTGATCTGCTCGTTTTATAACCTTCCTTGCTAAAGGTTGCAGTGCTGTGGCAAGTCACACAGAGTTGGGCAATTGTTTCTTGACAGTTGTTTCTAGCAGTGCTGATGGTATTGATTCCTCCCTAATTAAGGAAGGAAGCCATGACTAAGTGAGGATCTGGAGATCTTATACCTAATTCCATTAATGAAGTCTCCGTCATGCATTTGCTTCTTCATTGTAAGTCAGGGGACCTGGGGCTTGGTTCTACAATAAGCAGGGGCACTCAATCACTGAGTCACATCCCCAGCACTATTTTATATTTTATTTAGTGGTGGGGTTTCACTGATCCTGACCATGCCATCAAGCCTCTCTGGGCTTTGATTTCCTTATTTGTTAAATAAAATAGATAATCTATTTACATTCTGTGAGTTTTCAGTGATTTAACTAAAAATACAACAAATTTGTCTTAAGTGGGGTTAATCAAACCTATAGAGTTATTCTACAGGTTAAAAATACTCTATGGGGCTGTGGCTGTGGCTCAGTGGCGGAGTGCTTGCCTAGCATGTGTAAAGCACTGGGTTCAATTCTCAGCACCACATATAAATAAATGAATAAAATAAAGGTTCATCAACATCTAAAAAATATTTTAAAAAATAGAAAATAAATAAAATAAAAATACTCCATGTATATAAAAAAGGAAAGGTGGAGAAACCTGGTAGCCCCCACTTAGCCAAGTGATCAAAGTTTGAATCACCTCTAATAAAACAATATCAAGTACACCAAAATATGATTTGAGAAGTGTACGTCACATTTGTGATAGTCTTTCTTCAAATCCACAACCTCAATCTAAATCATGTGAAAAACATCATACAAACCCAAGTTGAGGACATTTTACAAAATACCTGACAAATACTGTTCAAATGTATCAAGGTCATGAGAGACCAAAACTCCAATTGTCAGATTGGTGATCACTAAGGAGTTCTATCTTTGCAACCCTTATGTAAGATATATATATGAATGATAAGTATTATAAACAAATATGTTGCTTATAATAGTGTTGAATCAAAGAAATGCTTGGGCGGTTTTTTGGCAGAAAAGACAGGGATAGGAGCCATTAGCCATCACTATTGTGCAGGGGAAATCATTCCTGCCACAGTTATCATGAAACCTTGAATGAGATACATTATTAAAACTAGTTCATTGCCAGGCAAGGGGGCACATACCTGTAATCC